ATAACGCACTACTGAAAAAATCCTCATTTGCGTGTCACAAATCAAAACAAAAAAAAAAAAAACAAAAAAAAATGCAAAATCCAATTCCTATATTTCAAATTTTCATGTCCCCTGGTATTAGTTATCATTTCTTTGTTCGAATTTAAAGATGGCAATACTTGAAATATTTGGCTTATATTCACAAATGGATACGATAATTGTTGCAAATGGCAATAAATCAGTTAATCATCCGCATTCGCTGAAAAATAGTTAAATGAGAATAAAAGAAGCCGGATTTATATGTTTAATGGATAGGTTAAAATCAGTTTGAATTGTAAATTATGCGTTATGGTGGAATTCTGGTCGTCTATATTCGAGGTCCTAGCGAGAGATAAATGCAAATGCTTCCAACTTTAGTGGCTTAAGAAATTAATTTCTAAAGAATGGATTTTCAAATAACAAACGATGTAGTGGAAATCGAACCAAAAACTAAATATTTAAGAGGTTCTGAACTGATACTTTTAAGACACAAAGATATAGGAATATCAAGTGCTGGTTTAAAGAAAACTGTACCAAAAGATACAGAAGAGGAGGTTAAAGAGCTGGAGAAACTTTATGGTAAATTGTGCTTTACAGTAAGGATATGACACAATTTTGAATAAAATTTTATCAAAGATTGCTTGGAGCAACAGTTATCTAGATCGCATATCGAACGCTTAGGCGGTCGGACATTGGCTGAATGGGACCATGAAACCCAAGCTGTACGTGTTATACGTAAAGATGGTAAATTTGAGAATTTCGGTTTTAACAAGCACGGACAGCACTATCTGGAGTATTATGAAGCTTTGTTTCTTTTAGAAAAAGTCAGTCCATATCTAAATTAATAATCAGAAAAGAATTTTAAAATAATCTATAAATTTTCAGAATCGTTTGCAGCTGGAGTACAACTCTTGCGTTGCGTCGATAGAACAGTCGTATCTGTTATTGATAGGTGAAAAACGTTCTCAACGTTGTGACGAATACTTGGTGTATTCAGTTATGACACGTTCTGGCTACATTTTAAACAAATATGAAAATCGACCGAAAGCACACTCGCATCGAAAACAGGAAATTCGATCTCGCGAAGACTGTATTTGGCATATATTGGAAATGGAAATAGAGAAAGAAAAGAAATCACAAAAAGAACAAATTGTGCCTGACTACGTACGTAACTATGTCGATTATACAAAAATTAGGCAGCAATTTCAACAAATAAAAGAAACTATTAAAACTCCAGAGAAAGGGACACAAAATATTGTATGCAACGATGAGTATAGTGAAAACGATCTAGATTTTAGGAAGAAGATGGAAACGAATTTAAAGCGTCCCGCCCAAGATGATAACGATTGCAATTACTGGCATAAAATTAAAAGAAATTGTACCCTCAGTACACCCGCTACAACAACTGCAAATACATCAAATGAAAGCTTAATTGACTTTCTTAAGTCGGATGCTGAGTATGAAAGATTTCGAGAAACGTTTCATAAACTGAACATTATCCCTTTAAAATCGTATGACACAGAAAATGAGGAGGCGAAAGATGATCCTTCTATTGAAATATTGCCAATAAATTTTGATGTTTACCTGCATAACGAAGGTTATCGTAAAAGTTCGCCCGGTTCGCCCCAGTTTCGAATAGTCATTTTAAAAACACAACAGTCGTTTCCTACACATCAGCAAATTTACTTTACGCATCGTCAACAATTGGATCCAGTCACTTTATTACTAATAGCAGTTAATGAATCCAGACAACTGCAAGCATTTCTATATCATTTTTCATGATTAGAAATTTAATAAATACGTCATTTATTAAATACAAAAGGATTACTTTTTAAAAAGTTTTTTCTATATTTTTTTTTTTTTCAAAGAATCGACATACATCTTCCTTCTCTCTCTTTCTCTCCTACCCCTATGTAATTTTGACTAAATTAATCAACTGACTACTGAGAAAGTGTAACTGCACAGTACTATTTAAAGTTAAGCATCAGTTATTAAATCAATCGAAAGGGCTACGTAACTGTCCTAACTTATGGCTAACAGAGGCTCTCATTAATATTCCCATTAAATGATCTTAAGAATTTAGTTGCGCAGAGTTGGTACAAAACGCATTTCTATTCTTATTCACTTCCATTAATATCTCGTGTTAAGTAATTCATGTTGCCAGTTGGGATAAGGAATGCCACTTTGATCTAGTTAAGCATATTCATTGATAGGCCGGTTGTTGGATGTAAGGGTTACGGTATAAGAAATCGATAAAAAAACTTCCTCGTAAAATATATATACAAATATAAAATATATATATATATATATATATATATATATATATGGATATGTATCCATACCCATATCCATATATCCATATGCGTTTGAATAACAGCCATAAATTAAATTAGAAATGACCAGACAGCTTTAACTTACTTAAAAATTAATCATGCCTTCTGCTTTTCTTATAAAGATGATACTTATCCCAGTAGAACGAAAGTCCGAGTATTTTTTTAATAGATCGCTTTAGATCAGACTTCAATATCGCAGAGTGAAAATTTTGATGGAAGAGCTAATCTAAAGAATTGTCAAAGTATTTACCAGTGATAATGCAGCAATCGGCATAAACAGCGCACAACTGCCAAGGTTTTCCAAGGTCACCTAATGGTACCCTGTAAATAATGTTGTGATCAGCCGACTCACATGCCAACAACATTATTCTAACACTTTGAAACTTGAAATTGTTTGATTGCGGTCATAAGTAAGCGTACAAGTGTAAACGGAAGCTCTCCAATTTCATTAATAAATGATTTCCTTCTTTCAAAATGCTCTTCTATTGCAAATGAAACAAAATTTACCTTGCAACTCTCAAGCTTGTTTGAAAATGAGTCAGAGCAACGCAAAAGAGATACGAAACGGAGAGCAAAGCGTATATTGTCAAAAGCTTTCAAATGAAAAATCAACGACATTAAAGCTTTCATTTAAATTAAAAGTTCATTTTTCTCATTTTCGTTTGATAGAAACTTTTTCTTTCTCAAGAAAAAAAAAAAAAAAAAAAAATTGCAAAATTTTCCGAAAGACAACTAACGCTCACAACGCTTTCTTGCTGAATCAAATATAATGGCCAGTCGTCGTCCGGCACGAAAAAAATTCATCGTAAGTTTCAAAAAAGAAAACTTGAACAACATTATGATTTTAGTCGCTTTTCGCAACTCAAATGCAAAACAAACGAACTAACGGTAAACTCTGGTGAAATATTGCAACACACACATTGCGTATAAAAACACGTCGTAACAATTGTGTACGGCAAGGAAGTTCAATACAGAGGAGGAGAATTTCATAAAAGCAATCTGCTTGATTTCCTTAAGAAAACCACAACAAATTTTATACCTTTAAATCCCTATCAAATTTACAGTGAGAATCGTCCATCATATAAATTAACATCAATATATAATGGTGAGTTTTCAATTCAAGCGGAAGGTGAAGGATATAGTTTGGTGCCAAGAAAAAAAAAAAAAAAAAAAAAAAAAAAAAACCAGAAACAAAACCTCTTCTAGCTGCCAAAAATTTTATGTTTTCATTTCTTTCAATTTTTTTGTTTTTTTTTTTTTTTTCCTTTTGTCTCATAATACCCACCGCCATAGAGTATATTACTTTTGTCGCTACAAATGTACGGCACTTATCACATATGAGATTCTTAAAGACTGCATAATATTTACAATCGGATAAATTAGCTGAGAATATGAGTTGATTTTGTTATAAGGAAACGTTTGCGTAAACCAAGAAATTAATGCCAAATTCCTTAACGTAACTTAAATATTTGGCTTAAGTTACATTATCACTTGTCATTCACTTTATTTTAGCATAAATTTAATCTATATTAAAATCACATCGAATATTTTATGCTTCAATGATTCTATCAAAATTAATTATAATTTCCGAGCATAATATGTCTCTCGTTTAAATTCTACTTAGGTTTATGCGCGAATTCAATATCTAGAAAATGAAAGCTTCATCCTATAAATATTTGCTTGCTTGAATACAGTAATTGGGGTAGTATTCACAACCGTATATGTAGATTCATATACTTTATCTCGAAACCATTTGGAATTCATTTAATAAGTTTAGCTACGTAAAAAGTCACTTTTAGATTAATAGCTAACATATCGTTTAAAGGCAGCTTAGACCTCTGCTTTCTAATACTCGGCAATCAAGATTATATTTACACTTTGGTATCGCATCTATGTTAACCAGGAATATATTTATGTTAGAAATTTAGCAAAGATATTGGGAAAATATTTATCGCAACATATTTTGAAGACATATCAAGACATAACAATGATTAAATAGTTGAGGTTATTTTCGATGTCTATTGCTGAAAAGTTGAAAATTCACAACAACCAATAGTGACTCGCATTGAGTCACAGTTAACTTATTTAAATATTTTAAGGATTTTTGTAGTAATTTGTTATGGCATTTCAATGATGTTTGTATATAGATATTGTATTTTCAAATATTTTCGTTTTTTTTTTTTAATCTGAATGATTAGGTCGGTCCACATCAAAGCTATACATTCACAAAAATAAGAATGCGAAAAACCCAAACAGGCTTGAGTCTATACTCTTCCTATGACGTTGAAGATATGCTAAGTTTATCTTGATTTTTGTAACATGCCTGAAAAATGCATATTTCTGTTCGCGTGTCCATTCATACGTTTATCCGTTGATCTTAGATCGCAAAAAAATCGATATAGAAAGCTGCAAATAAGACATATATATATATATGTATTTATCTCTTAAAATCTGTTTTAAATGTTAGCAAATTGGCACGAAAGACTGGATTTGATGGCAATGGCCTGGCAGACCTGTTTACAGACATTCCGACCACAGCCGGAGCACCCGCATGAGTAAGAATCGTGAGTCGCAGATTTAAGTCTCATATGCGCTAAAGTTTATGGTCGTGGTCGTAGCTATAGTGGGTGCTCAACCGTTTGGCCATACACCTTCTAGGCTGTGAGCCACCTGCCCATCTCTTTCTTTTCCTTTTCCTTTTTCCGCACTTCATCATGTTAGATGTACAGGTGTAATCCCCCTGGTGATCGGTCGAATTGAAAGAAAAGGGATAGATATATAGGTATATATACACCCTACAAGAGATAAGAGAGTTTATAAAAAGCTATTCAAAGGCTACTTGTCTAATAAGTCAATGGAGTAGGAACTATTGATCAAATGAAACGCACCTTTAATTAAGTAAGGTGTCAATTGAAAGTGATAGGTGTCATAGAGATTCGACCCAAGTAAATACAAATTTTGTGAGATGAATTTTTCTTGAAATCCATTTTTTTTATTTTTATTTTGTTTAAAGACTAATGATTTCATGCTTAATTTATTATAATTTGCGTTTTCTTCTTTAAATACATATTCGTTTTGATGGCTACAATTGAGTATAATTTTGACATAAGCGAAATTTTTTAATTTGATCGGTGCTTTTGCGACATTTCATTAAAGTAATATTCGAGACATAATTAACGCGAAGATTTAAAATCACTTTAAGCATGTGTTATTGAGTATTAAAATAAATTATTGTCTTAAAAAATTAATATTATCCGCAATATGGAAAAAACTGAAACTGCAAGTAGTCCTGTAGAAAATATATTTTTTTCATTATTTTGCAATAATTTATAGATAGTATTCGTAGCGTAAAACGAGTAAATTTTAAATGCAAAGTTGATTTGTTAATATTGCGTTTATACACTGGGTCTTCATCGTTATCATAAATGCCTGACAAAGTCAACTGAAATGTGAACTTGATAGCATATAAAGTCATAGATGGCGAACATGACATTTTGCGGTTAACCGTATGAAATGTTTGCTCAAATATTTATAAGAGCCGTCAAGGAGTTTAAAACTCAATTGACTCAATAATAAGATCACATTTAGCAAATCCTTGAAATGATTCTTTAATCTATGCTTGATGTCGTGCGCATATATGTATGTTATGTTTCAATATTATGAGAATACTAGAGTTTACGTAATTGCGACATCAAATCCTGAAAGTTTTATTTGCTTTGCAAATCATGGAAGAGCGAGAAGCATTCACTTTCCTATTGAAATAAATTATTAATAAATTCCTTTTTATTATGCTCCTTCCATACAATAAAGTCCTTAACCCTTCGCCTTTTAGGCCTATCATTGAGAATAAATGCTTTGTTTTCATTGACCTTGAATATAAACAATCTACACATACTTACATTTGAATATGCATAATATATATATATATATATGTAAACAATGCTATATAAGTATTATCACAGTTATAAATAGTATGTGACATCAGTTACTCAAATGTAGTTTACGCTCGATTATAATCTCACTAAGATAATCTACAAAGCTAAAGCTTGAGATACAATTTATATAATATATAACGCATAATATATATTTTCTATATATAATATATATTTTCTTTATTGAATATACCGGAAAATAAAGAATTGAAATACAACCTATGGCAACAGAAAACCTCTCCAAAAATCTACAATCATATAATAGTTGTGGTTGTGCAAAAGTCATTGATAAAAGAAGCATTTTGAATATTAATTTTATATTATTTTAAAAATTTCTTTCTTTTTAGAAATAATTTTAGAAATGATTGTTGCTTTTTAAATTTTGGCAGATTTTTAAAAATCTGTAAAGAACACGCATGCCATGATTTAGAACTCGCATCTAAATATGTTAATAGTTCAAGCCGTTCTGCTTGCAAATATCTCGAAAAATGTAAAAAAAAAACGGAATCTGAGCACATAACCTCAATGTTAGACAATTAATTTCATCGAGCAATTTACAAATATTTTTTCGACAGATTTCATCGTTAATCCTAATCTCACTAATTTTACTCAGTAATTATCCTTCAAATTATCCAAAATATATATAAAATCATAACATCATATGGGTGAAAAAACGTTGCAACATTTATCACTAAGCAATCGTAGTCAATGTACCCAAAAATATTATATTCCCCGACAAGTATGACATCGGAACACAACAGTTCAATATCCCTATAATACATATCGGTCAATGAAAATATCTGGTTACAGATACGGATGTAAATATGACATGATATAAAATATTGGGATAGGGTAGGAATGACAGCGAATCCAATGACGACGGCAGGCTTCATGCTTAGCAATACAATACAACTTCGCTGAGCGTATTTTTGAAAATAAGTCTGAAATATTTAATTCTTACTTTATGAAAGAAACTTATTTTAAAAATACCTCCCGCAAAACCGTGCCTTCATACGTGTTTACATCGTTTATGCGAACCTTTCAACATAATAAACATCTGAAGGACTAATGAGCATAAGTATAAGATAAAAATAATATTCTTCTGTGGCCGCCCAATCTCTTATATCCCCCAGCTTTTTTTTTTTTTAAATAAAACGTTTAAAGAAATTACAATTTCAATACCTCTACACTATTGGGTAGGTGCGATCAATTCCTTCAATTTTACTTTCAGTACTGTAGGACCGTCCATGGAATATGGGGGAAAATTTTTTTTGCGAGTGATGGATTGCGCGAGTCGTAGAATTTTGTGGCGTGTGTGTGTGTGTGTGTGTGTGTGTGTGTGTGTGTGTGTCTATGAAAACGAGAACACTTCTCTTCCAAATCGATATGCAGAGGCTTAATACGAATACCAATGAAACCCCAATGATAACTAATTTAATTTAAACAAACATAAATCAAGTTAAACGACAGAAAGCAACGCTTTCCTGGCTAATGATGCTGATTCACTTAATAATAGAATGCTTAGAAAAACATTTTTTTAATATATACATATATATGTATGATTGTGATTTAAAATTGTCCGTGTCAAAGTGGATGTATAAGTTAGAAAAAATATATATACTAAATATATATATATATATATATATATATATATATATATGTATGAATATATATGAATGATTGCAATTTAAAATTGTCCGTCCCAATGTGCTTGCATAACCTAGATATATATATAGTCAATAAAAATATGGGTATATAGATGTTTAGTTTGAACATGCCTTGAAATGCTTAACTTAGCACGTAACCTAAACGTTCGTGGCTTTGTTTCACTAAAAAAGGACATAAAAGGCGAGTATAAAGCGACATAAAGACGAGACCATACTAGAAAGAAAATTTAATAGTTTAAGCATATATGCAACGCTAACGATATACAAGATTTTATCTACAATATTTGATCAATCTACGATAAAATCATTACGATCCGATAAAGGATGGGAGAGAAAGCTTTATCAAATGAATAGGTTGATGGAAAATAATAAAATAAATATTCCTTTAATAACAAGTATTTAAGTGCATTTATAAGGCAAAATGGAGGCCGTAACTTAACGCCTTCGAAAAACATTGAATTTTCAAGGACATGCGGTCTTAACGAGCGCAAAAGTATCTTTTAATAAACAGTTAAGCATAAATAAATTAATGAATAATAAAATTTAACAAATGGCTCGCAAGTTTAAATCCATATCAATGTATGCGCGATATGTATGAGTATATATATATATATAGATAGATGTGTACTTGTTTGTCTGCAGAGAAATGTGTTTTTTCTATTCAACGCAATTGTGAGAATGAACGACGACGAAGACTTTACGACTCACATCTGGTTTAGTCTGTACGTGATGATATATAATTTTGTTTTTTTTTTGTTTTTTGTTTTTGTGTTTTTTTTTTTTTTTTTTTCTTTTGTGTTTTCGCAAAACATATAAATTTCCTTTAATACTAAAGTATAATAATGATTGTGACTGCGTGCGTATGCTTGCATATAGCCTCAGATATATAAAAATTTTGTACCTGTTTAACTGTAAAGCTAATTTAATTTTCCAACAACAAAATGCCGTTAATAATATTTTCCCATCCATTTATGGATTTGCCTTATAAAAATGCCTTTCTATCAAATTTATTTAATAAACTTGTAGAAGAAATTAAATTTTTCTTCTCTCTCGCATTATAACATCTTTATAAAATTTTAACCTGGTGAAAGTCGATTCGATGGATTCTTGAAATATTTCCAAAAAATCGCAAAAACATATATACGCGTGTAAGAAAATTCAATTGAAAACACAAACACACAATTAATGCATATTGAGTGTAAGGCAAGAAACAATTGCGAAACAATCAAAAAGAAATCTAACCATAGAAAATGTAATGAAAAATGAATTTTACAACTTTCTCGCTACATAATAGGAAAAATAAATTTTTAAGCAAATATTCGTTTAGCGTTAGATAGAAAGCGATATATAAAATCCTTTCCTATTCATAACTTTGAAGACAATGAGTTTCTCTTGCGCGTTTATATGTAAGAAATATACAAGTAAGTATATATCCATTGAAATCCATCGACTGTTTTTCTGCTTGTGCCCGCCACGTCCGTCTGAATCAAATGACAATTTCAAAGTCTTTCTTTTATTGCTCTTCGACTCTGATGGATAAGTTCTCGACAATCGCGTCTTATTGCATAACCTAAACTTGAAAATTTTCGCTTCTTCTTTTTGAAATGACTAGACAGAGACGGATATTGAGAATATACTAACCGTGACCTTTCATTTGTAACATTCTGAAATAACACAAAAATTCACGGCAAGGTGAATAAAATTTTGTTACTTGTTTTTTTTTTTTTTTTTTTTTTTTTTTTAAAGGGAACAATTAACATGAGATTCTTGTCGAAGACCTTTATTGTTAAATAGCGCACAAGCAAGCAGAAATAAATAAATTAATTACATACATAAATATGTATATCATTTTTGTTGCTTTTCTTCAACCACTTGTACAACGTCTTATTGGCATGATGCCCTTTAAAAAGATAATTAAAAAATTAAATAAATAAATAAATTAATAAATAAATATATTAGATTTTATTTGCTTATAGTTTGAATAAATTTATTCATAATGAAATTATGAATTTACAATAAAGCACTTCTTGCACTACTTTCTTATCTTATTAACGAACGAACAATTACCCATCAATGGCCGCCCCTTTCGATCAATGAAAAGTTAATTATAGAGAAGCCTCTCTATCCATCTCACTTGACAGACTAATCAAAACATATCGTATTAAAATTATTGATTCAGTAACCTTCATGTCATAGGCCAAATGTCTGAAAAGATATTTGCATTACACTGAAAGTGCCTTTGGTGTGCGAATGGTGTGAATTTATAAAGAAGAGCAAAAATGTGTAACGCAGTTGGTTTGTATAGTTTCGATGTGAGGTTTTTTTTTTTTATTTTACCTAGTGTGAACCCAATCATATCGTATGATCGAATATACCCTTTTATTCGACCAGATATAACCTCAACCACGAACCGTGAGTTATTTTAAAGCATTCTTTACTACAAAGTTTTCGAAACCTATTAATATGTATGGTCGGTCACACTAATATTTTACATAATTGAAAAAAAAAAAAATAAAAAAAATAGCAGTAATATAAAGTTACTTACTTAACTTCCAATAAATCTGAAAAAATTTTTACAAATCAATTAATATTGATATAAAAATGAAATAAGCATTTCAGTGGATAAACTACGCATTCCGTTGAAAAGATTTGGAATATTTAAAACAACTGCTTATTCTTGATTTCAATTAACTTAATTCAGTCTACATTTGGTCGAAGATCAATATTTATGTAAATTCCGGACACCTTCTAGGGGTTACTGGAATTATAGAATATTTTAAGAAATATTTATTTAGTGCTACGCTCCTATGGGTGGTCACATTTAAAACGCTTCTTACCCTGCCGGAATACGTTGGTGAAGAGGCCAGATGTCCTGCCTTACTGAAATCACAGTAAAAAAGTAAAAAAAAAAATTCGAATCATTTTTAATTTATCCCAAAACAACATCGCAAAGTAATCGCAAAGATGATCATTTCCCGAGTATGTTAGATAGACGCATGAGATAAGCTCAAAGGTTAAGGCAAGCTGCAGTCATATTTCCACGGGCAATATTTAGATCATCTTTCGCTTTGCTTTTGTCAAGAAATACTTAGCTATCTCCAAGGGCGGGTAAATAAAAAAATTCGAATCATTCGTATTACTATTTTCGTTCTTTTATTCGCTTCTGTTATGTTTTTTATTGGAACCATATGAAACGTGAATTTCTTGTACTCGTAGAGTATGCGTAAACGTATACGAATTTTCCACGATCAAGTCTCAGGCTTTCACAGCGATTGAATACGAAAATTATATTTAGCTGTGGCCGAATTTCATCTACACCCATCACCTGTATTTTAAAATAATATATGCGAATATTGCATTTCACGTGTAATGAGCAAAAACTTTCATTTTTTTTTTTTTTTTTTTTACTTTTGAAAACATCTTTTTTGAAAAAATGACATTATATTGTGGGCATGTCTTCTGATTGATTTAGTCCATTTTCAATATCAATCTGCTTGCTTCATGTCGTATTTGAAGCCAATATCTTCATTTTCGAGTTCAAGAGGATCTTTTTTACTACAGTCAAGTAAGCTGACGGACGGACAAATGTGCCTAAATGAATTCAAAATATGATAATTGATCAATAATGCATATATCATATAACGTCTCTGAAGTTTATTACATAATGCTGTAATTAAATACAAATATATCGCTTATACTACGATGATGGGCGCGAAAATAAAAAACATAAATAAGAGAACAAATAGTGAGAAGATTTTACTGTGAGATAAGATATTTTATTCATTTTCCTAATTAAATAATATTTAAATAATTTAAGAAACGACAAAGAAATTTCGAGAGAATTTTCTTATAGAGCATACATAATACATATCACTTACTACTAAGCTTAAGTGTTAAGGTACTTGATCATCTCGGGCCCTCCTAATTTGGCTAATCGTTTTTTGCATTACTTTAACGCAATGCTCTGCTTGCATGTATCGAAGACTTTCCCGGTAAATAAACAGTCGCGCGAATAGTCGCTTAAAAGTCGTTAAAAACTTTGATTTTAAGTTGAATCCTTGTTAGTTTTTTCATATTTTTATTGCTTTCATAATAATTTTTCAGTCAATATAATGCTTCCTTCTGCAATAATTTATCTTAACTGACTAACGATTATCTATAAATAAATGCATAATAATGGCATAATAAAATAAATAAATAATAATAATAATAATAATAATGAGAAGAGGAGAGAAGAAAGGAAAAACTATCAACAAATTCATTTCATTTTTCACAATAATCCGATGTAGTTGTTCATGTGCCATCAAATGGCCATGCAGAAGGAGGCCAATGACAAACAGAAAGCCGAGGAACTACGTAAACAACAGAGCTGTGTAAGTAGTTGAGTTGTAATAAAATCATATATTTCATATAAACCGAAAGCATGCCAAGCCAGATGAGGTTTCAAAATAAAAATTAACCGCAGCCCGTGCAATTGCAGCAATTAATCCTTTTAAGAGCAACGCTTATGTATCCCCTTTTTTTTTCGTTTCTTTTCTTTTTTTTTTTATCTTCTCAAGTTTACTTTTAAATGTAAATAAGCGTAATAATGTCAGTGTTTTCTACAAAAAAAAAAAAAATAAAAACAAAAAAAAAAAAACAAAAAAAAAAAAATAAACAATAATAATGAAAAACTTAACATATATTATTTAATGCCGCTTTGCAGCTTAAAGTACCTATTATTTGGGTTTTGGGAGGTCCCGGATCTGGCAAGGGCACGCAGTGCGAGAAAATTGTTCAAAAGTATGGCTTTGTTCACTTAAGTACCGGCGATCTTCTGCGAGCTGAGGTAATTCAACAAGCAAATCAGTTATCAATTAAAAATTTTTTATTCCCTTTCCTCCATATTTGATATAAATTACAGGTGGCATCTGGCTCACCGAAAGGAAAAGACTTGGCTATAATTATGAAAGAAGGCCGCCTGGTTTCTAATGATGATGTTCTTGATTTATTGGAGAAAGCCATACGGGAAAAGTCACTTGATGCTAAGGGTTTTCTAATTGATGGGTAAAATTACTGTTTATTTTTATACCCTACCCCAATTATGGTACAGAGTATACTATTTTATTATACCGATCGATTCAGAATCATAATTTGAATTGATCTAAGCCTGTCCGTCCGTCTAACGTTTGACTTCTGTCGCGGCATGTCACAATTTTTGAGATATTGTAATGAATGTGTTTTGAACCAAGGATAAAAGCTCCTGAAAATGGTTTGGATCGGTTCACTTTTGCGATTACTCTTCATATAACGGCTTATTTTTAAACGCCATTTTATGGAAAAAAATTGTAATTTTCAAAATTTCTCGGCAAAAGTGGCTAAGTAGTGGTATTCTGGAATCCTAAATGGTTGGGTATGAGAACTTTAAACCGGCTCGGACAATTTTTGAACTGCAAGTTCATACGACAAAAAATTATAATTTTTAATGCTTCATGATGAAAATTATATCATAATAGGAATTTAACATAAAATAATTAACTGTACGAACTGTATTTGGACCATATCGGTCTATTTTTTGGTTCCTACCCTAATAAGAATTTTCACAAAACTTGATCCTTTGAAAGTTGACCCATAATAATAATATCATGCAAAAATAAGAATTATCTCAGAGAACGTGGTGTTACGGTATTTAACGATCGACCTTGGCCGACTATAACTTCCTTACTTGTGAAATATTGAATCAATTTTAATGATTTGAAATTCTTATTCTTCTTTCTGTTTTTTTTTTGTCACAGCTATCCACGAGAAAAGAATCAAGGTGTAGCCTTTGAAAAGAAAATAGCTCCTGTAGATCTCATTATTTATTTTGAATGCGAAGACGTAAGTTTTTCTTTGTTTCTTTAAAGATTAAGGGGTGGGCCAAATCTCTTGGTTTTTTCTGCGTCCAATTAGAATTGATTCCGTATAATTATTGAAATGAGAATCGATTCTGGCAACGCGGATACCTCAAAATCGGAATTTTCGATAAACTTCTTCAGTTAATGTCGATTTACGGCGCGTGGGTGGGTTTACAATTTTCGGCAATTTTAAAGATGATTATCGATTTTGAGCCTCTTTAAGCATTCTATTGATAAATCGAAGATAGTCCAATGGCTTTTATACTTAAATTGCTTAAGTATGGAATTTGCGTAAACGGTTCGTAAATCTAAGCTCGAAATGTATCCTAATAGATACATTCTGTTCTTCATCGGCTAACTATGGGTTAATCAAACAAATTGACTTCCAGTTCGCATAGTACGATTTGTATTATAAAAATCTATTTAAGTATTCATGACAAAGTTTACTAGGACTTGGAAAAAATCAACAAATGGCCAACCTCGTATATTAAGCCTTTCGTTTTTATCATAAGCAGATTTCTTTTCTTTTTCCTATCGTTTTTAGGAGACATTAGTTAATCGCATTATGGGTCGAGCAGCCGCATCCACCGAAAAACGGGCCGACGACAATGAGCAAACAGTTAAAGCACGAATTCTCACTTTCAGAGGAAACACTAACGCAATTTTATCTCAATACACTGACAGAACTTTAACGGTAAGTTAAATATATATTGAAGGACAACTTAAGAAAATTGAGGAACGCGCAAAGTTGATCGGAAGCGTAAAGACGATTCCTTGTTGCAAACAAGCCCTGCATTCTTAATTAAAATTAAAATAACCAAATTTTACAATTAATTCTATGCTTAATTACGAGCAAAAATTTTCGGAATAAATTGCCCAAGACATTTACTTACCTAACTAACAAACAACTGAAATTTGCGCAGACATTTAAAGAAGATATTCGTGCAGATCCCTGTCGTATGCTAAGGGAGATATGTATTTGAAGAATGTTATGAAGAAAAGTAGTCGTCGGAAATAATTTGTGTCAATCTTTATTTTTACGCCCAATTATTGCTTGGAATCATAAACAAGTCTCGCTAAATCAGCTGTCAAAATATATGATGGTAAGGGTTGAAAAAGGGTGGCTATGAAAAAATGCAATTACATCCTCTTTAAAACAAAGAAGCGAAATGACTTTATGAACAACTCATTAATTGAACTTTACTATGAATTGAAGCATTTTTTTAAAGAAAATTATTAGATCGGATCATAAGTAATTTCCGTTTCTTTTTCACACATTTATTTTGTTTTCATTGAATAACAAAATTATATTAATTTAACACTTGATGGATGAACCTTTCAACCTTTTCAATCTTTTTGCTATGCCTCTTGTTGATTAGTGTGGATTTTGCTCAAATATTGCCTTTAAAAAGTTGTCGTCAAAGTCAGAAGGACATATCTCGCCTTTTATGGCCGTATCTCCAGAATTGGAACAATACAAATCAATTTCTAACTGCCCGACCAGTTATCAGTTCTTCATCGTATACGCTGCATATTTTTTCAACAGTCGCCCTAGCGCTATTGCCATTCGAGCGTTCGCTCGAGTTCGCGCATTCTCTTCTTCTTACTATTTTAAGCCGTGGTTTAACTTTTTTTTTTAAAGAAATTCACTTAAACAAATATTTTACGAAAAAAAAAAAAATTTTTTTTATAACCTCTCATTGATTGAACGATATATTCCTTAAATAAGAATTTGCTTTTCATCTTGACATTTACTCACGCTAAATAATGACCGTTTCCCTAACACCAATTCTACTATTTGTTCATTTCCTATTGCAGCTCAATGCCGAACGCACCGTTGACGAAATATTTTGCGATGTCACCTGTGCCTTGGACTGTTTATTACAGAAAAAGAATCTTGAAGCTAGCGATCGCTAAATTAATTTTTAGTATTTTTTTAATTTTTTTTATTTTTTTTTTGAAAAACAATGAGAATACTTTTAAGCAAGTGCAGCACAAAAGCACTGAACATCTAAGTAAGATCAAGCACAAAACAGTCAATATTGAAAACGCTTTCGATATAGAACAATAACACAAAAATTTAATAATTAAATAAGTAAATTAAATAAAAATTTTATGTATTCGAGATATTATATACATATATATATATATATATATATATTATTTAATATTGCAGAAACATATGTACGAGTGGGTAAAACAACGTAAACCGTTCCAAGTTAACATAAATAAATACAGTATAAAATATATACAAAACTCTTGCTTTTTTCATTTTAAACACATTTTAATAAACATGATTGTCTTATATCGGACCTATTGTCTGTCTTAACTTTTGCGCTTCTTTACGATAATCTCTCTCTCTCTCTCACCCTCTTTATCTTTCTCTCTCTTTCTCTGTAGAAAAGTAACGCAAATTTCTGCTTGCAATTATTGATATCAGTTCGTTGCCCCTATTCATTTTCCTCTCATACGAATCGGAAATCAAAAATCAGCTATTTTTCTCTCACTCCCTGCGAAGATAAAAGAAGTACTAACGCATAATATTTTGCGTACGAACGTAATATCTAGTATTTCGAGAATTGATTGCGTAAGCTATCATCAGCTGATAAAACGAACATGACAACGACGAATTATAAGTACAAGTGGCTTCTTTGCTTGCCAGCCAATGGACCAATCAGGCTTTGTGCAGGACATAAGAGATCCATATCTCTTTTCTTGGTTATTCTTGGTTATTGATAAAACGTTTGCCAATTAATAATTACAGGTAATAAAAACAGGTTCAAGAAATTTCCTCATCGATTCAAAGTGTCCATACTAATACATAATGTTAAAATACTGTTACAAAAAGCCCTGTGCCGAAAAATTATGAAAATTACATAACATTTTTTTACACAATGATCAAATACGTGATCCTAGTTTAATCTTTTTTAAAATCGCTTGTTCTTAGACCAAAACGCGTCCTCAAAATATCACGAAATTTGTGACTTGTCTGTTGAACACAAAAATAATTGGCAGACATCAGACGGTCAGACAGGTGAACAAATTTAGGACGATTCAGAAAATGATTCCGAATCGATCGGTATAATGAAATTTATCTCATGTCGTCCCGAGCGTTACAACCGTCTGCGCAAACTTAATTTGCCAAATACCACAAATGGTGTAGGGTATAAAAATGTTTACAATTTCAATTATATTTTATAATCGTTCTACGTATTAGTGTATTATGCTTTTTTTTTTCTTTTTCGACCCACTTGAGACGTTTAATATAGTTTCGACAAAATGTGCTACTAAGCAATTTACATACATTTGTGTAGAAATACCTTATGTAACAGATTGATAAGAATTTCTTAACTGCGCGTTACAGGTGCCCGACTTTAATTTGTAGTTTCTTAATTAATTTTATTTACTTACATTTGCAGATCCATCTTAAATATAATTTGAAAACAAAAAGAATTATTTGTTTTTGTTTTTTTAATAAGCTGGCAACTCTTTCATTTTGCGTAAATAGTTTACTTGACGATTTAATTTGCTGCATTAATAATGGGCAGAGAGTAAAGCACGGCAACTGTCAATGTTGACGTTTTGTTATATTTTTTCGAAGGCAACGCAAGAAAATTTATTTTATTATGACTTATTGTTAGTTTTAAATTCAAAAACAAATAAAGGAAAGACTAAAAAAGTGCAAAAAAATAGTAAAACCCGTAGGCATATATTAAAAAAATTTTTATATATAAAAGCTTTTAATGAAAAACTAATTTTAGCGGTAATAAGAAAAACGACTACAAGGCCATCTTTTTTGCCCAGGGAATTTTACTTCTACTGATCAGTCAATTGATACCTGCATCACTATGACAACCTATTTAACGGATAGTGAAGGTAGGAATTAGATATATTTTGTAAGTTTAATGAAAGCGTCTCTTAACGCCATTACTTGTAGGTAAATTTATACCGGCGACCCAGAGACCAGATGGAACTTGGCGCAAGGCCAGACGGGTGAGAAATGGGTATGTACCGCAAGAAGAAGTACCTTTGTATGAAAGCAAAGGCAAACAATTCGCTCAACGTAAACCGACTTTACCGCCAGGTATGTGCCCGTTAGCCGCTGAGCAGGCTCGTAAAGAACGAGAAAAGCAGGAAAAGTTGAAAGCAAAAAAAGATGCTGCTGCTGCATTAACTAATAAACAAAGGCAACAGCAGCAGCAAATACCCGGCGTCTTAAAACTGCCTGCCAATATCGATACCTCGGCTACTATAGCCGCCCCACCAACAGCCAACAAACCATCCACAAACATTGGGCCAAAAGCGAAAACACAAAACTCCATTAGTAATTCAAACCATCGTATCATAAATGAATTATCCAAAAATTTTGAGACTAATTTAAATGTCGCCGTCGATGGCCAAGATGTGCAAAAGAAATTGAAAAAGTTGCGCAAAAAACTTAGGGAAATTGAACAGATTGAGGAGAAAATCAAAAATGGCACTCTTAAAAAGCCCGAGAAAGATCAATTGGAAAAAATTAAACGTAAAACGCAAATACAAAAAGAACTAAAGCAATTGGAGGAAGAGCAACAACAGCAGCAATCAACAGATAATGAAATGCCGTCTTCAACTTAACCTGAACATCGATCTCAAATTATGCTATTTATAAAATCAAATAAAAATGGGGATAACTGTAATAAAGAGGAGAGAACGTGTAAAAAACAAAATATTAAATAACCTCATAAGTAAGAAAAAAAGGGGAAATGAAATCCCAAACTGGTAAATATGAGATTTATGTAAATTTTGTGACTGGTTTTTCTACAGATTTCTTCATACATATTTTTGAAAAAAGAATATATGTATTTTGCTTTCTTGTCTTTTTAGTTTTATTTTATAGACTTGTTTTATTTAAATTAACTTTTTAATCATTGTGAATCGATATTATTTCTGTAGTCGTCTGATATTTTTAATTATTTATTAAACTTAAAACGGTAGGAGAAAATTGAGGAATAACTATTAACTGCCTTTTAAATCATTTCCATAATCTTTCAAATAATATGAATTTTTATTATTTAAAAAACAAAAAGAGAAAAAAAACCTGTAAAATATCATTTTTTTTTCCGGCTGCTATTATATGTAATTTTGTGAAGTGATGTTAAATTGTTTTAAATTCTGACGATTGAGATAAATTCTTGATATTTAAGAAAAGTATACACGTAAATTAAGATATATAATATATATGTATATATATATATATATATATATATGTATATGTATGTATATATATGTATAGATGCATATATAATGTAATTTTAATATGGAATAAAATATAATTATTAAAACAAACCTGACAGATTTGAAATGTTTTAGTCGTTTGGAAATGAAAGTGGAACATCGAGTTTCTAGCACCGAAATATAAAAAAAAAAAGTTAAACTTACTTTTGCAATATTTTATTAAAGTCTTGCTTTTGAAATTTTTAAAAATACATAATACACACACACGCAACATATCGAAATTAATCGATTATAATGTACTAATGCGAGGAGATACATCGATTTCTAAATAGATAAACATATCGAAAACATGTGCGTACTTGTATAAACCCTAAGAGGGTATATTTATATGCTTGATCTATATACCATTAGGTTGAATCATAAGTAACTTCCGTTTCTTTTACCAGACATTTATTTTATTTTCATTGGATAACAAAATTACATTAATTTATTATTTATTCGCAACTATTATATATGACCTTCTCCCATCTTCCTAGCACTTTATCATTTTATTCGTTGTAAAATGTGGTTGGTCTGGACTGGAAGAAATTTTCAACACCCTGACTGGTTTGCTCTTTAGAATTGAAGGTTTTTCGATTTCGTGTACCCATACTCCTACCTTGCTGACTTGTCCTAATTTCTCCAGGTGGCGGTTAACAGTTGGCTTGGGAGGTATTCAATTTTTCTGATATACCTCTTATCGATTAGCGTGGATTTTCCTCAAATATTGTCTTTAAAAGTTTGTTGTCAAAATCGGAACGATATCCGTCTTATAAGATCGTATCTCCAGAACTGGAGTTTTACAAACCAATTTCCAATTACCCGACCCGTTTATCAGTTCTTCATCGTATACGATGCATATTTTTTCAACTGTCATCTTAGAGCTATTGCCTTCGTTTCGCTGATTGCCTTCTGCCCGAAATGTAAATAGAGTATGTATTATGATATGAATCAATATGAGAAAATGCTCTTCGAAATCACATTAAAACTTAAGCTAGAAGAGACGAAATCCCAAACAGGCCCGCCCATTTGTACAAATTTTTCCTCTCGTTTACGATAATCACAGTGAGTACATATAATATGTAATATGTAATCGAGAAGAAAAAAAAACCCGTTATGGCGCATAAATGCTTTATTTTCTAATTTCTTTTTTAACCGCATAGTACTTTTACGTTTTTAAATATAAAAATAAAGATTTAAAAAGAACAAAAAAAACTTATTAAGTCCTTAACAGAAGAAGGATTGATTGCTTTTTTCTATTATTTATGAATCGATTTTCAATGTATTCATCTTTAAGTCGCACGCTTAAATTGAACGCAATGAAGCGTCATTGTGTTGAGGCCTTTACGCTGCACTACAGTGAACATCTGTGCGAAGGAAGAAAGAAACCGCATTATTTTTGTAAGTTACGCTTTCATTGGTAATTTAAGGCATACAAAACCATTGATGAAAGCCTTTATTTGTTTCAATTTTTCCGCAATTATATTTTAAAATCAATCAGCAAACTTTTACATATTTCAATTATTATTTTCTCATATTTCACTTATTATAATTTCAATCAGTTTCAACACTTTTATTCATTTTTCTTTAATGCCAAATAATTTTACGACTAATTATTTCTAACAAAATTTCTTCTTCTTTCTTTTCTTTTTTTCAAAATAAGCTCGTAGGATATTTTATCACTCAAAGTGTAATAAATTAAATTTGTTAAACTTATATCCTTTATAAAACTTTAAAAACACAGAAGTTACATTCACCATTAGCTCGCCTAGAAGACAAGAAATTATTATATATTTTATATGTTTGATTATTTATGAATAAAAAGGACACACACACACATATATATATGTATAATCAAGATTTACTCAATTGATCGTTTTATAGATAAATTGTTGAAAACTTTTTTTTTTTTTTTGTTTTTTTTTTTGGTTTTTTCTAAAGGACTCGTTACATCTGATAATCTCCATGGATGGACGTTTTCTATTTAAATGAATGCAGTGCTTGTCAACAATTTAGTTATGAATTAAAACGTTAAGAAAAAGTGCAACTAATGTCATAATCAGAAATAAAAGGTTTTCACATCTTTTGACAGTATTCAGCGGGTCTAAGAAGCTGTTTTGCTGCTGTTGGATAATGGCCTGCAAGAGTTTTTATCGTTTAATATACATTTGGCTTTCTTGACCCGTTACTTGTGTATAATGAATATGTAAGTCATCGTCTATCCATCCTTGCCGGATTACCTCATATAGTCATGATCATGAATGTGTATTTAATAATATATTTAGAATGTGTGTATATCATTGTCATTACATATACCCTGCGCATGACGAGTATACTCGTCTTCGCTGAATTTTTACGACACAATTTAAATTCATATTTCCGAAAGAGATCGACGCGATGAATTGGTTCAATGCGTCTGGTTTATCTTATGTTCGCGAAACTTCTTCAGTTTTCTTTGCACGAGTTATTCTTGAACGAGATAAATTATTTTTACGAAACATATTTTTATTTTTTAATTTTTGTGTTTAATTACTATATATTTAATATGCATTTGAATAGCATTTAATTAATTTTTTATTTATTTATTTAATTGTTTTTTTATTTTTTTATTTATTTATTTTTTTTTTTTGTTAATTACTTTTTCTTCAAGCTTGGAAAACATTTTAATAAATGCAAGAACAGTGCCAGAATAAGGCTTAGTATTCCTTAAAACTACATTTCTCTTATTTCTAGTAAAACAAAATAATCATTAAATCTAACTACACATATAATTTCTCAGCTATCTTCATTTAATAAACATTTACGAAAAATACAGAAAATAAATATATAATTTAAGATATTTACAATAATAATTTTGTTTTTTCTTCCTTTTTAGAAATTATTTTTATTTTAATACACACAAGCATAATAGCTCTAACAAAAATTGAATAAATATATTAAAAATGTGTTTTAAATACTTTGTCATCTTTTTTTTTTTTTTTTTTTTTTTTTTTTTTTTTTTTGTTGTTTTCAATTCTTGTTTGAAATCTTTAAATACTTATATTGGTATACATTTAGTGAAAACATTTATGTAGGGGCGTTTGTTTGCTTTGCTAACCTAAATCTCCGACATTTATTGGTTTCTAGCACTTGAATACAAAAGATCAAGATCAATTTGAAATTAGTTTACATCATGCGACGGAAACTTGTGTAATTGCAAATCTTAAAATGGCAAGGAGTTAAATCTGCAAGAGATAAAAATATTTTGAGTAATAGACAAATCGATTGCAAAGATAATTGCAATAGTAACTTACATTCTTCTTTTAGTCAACCAATCATTGTAAAGATGAAGGTAAGAATTCCAAAAATAAAAGGGCATAAAATAAATAAGAATTTAATAAGTTTTTAGGTTAATATTTGTTTTTTTTTTTTTTTTTTTTTTTTTTTTCGAAATAAATTACTTACGAGTATCACTTTTTTTAGGTTTACGTTTTACAGCCGAAATCATTGCCTTATTTATGATGAGATCGGCAAGACCAGCTTTTGATTGTCGAAAAGATCTTGCACTCCTTAAAGTCCGTAAAGGTGTGGCAGTCAGTGTTCGCAAACTTTCCACAAATTTATTATACAAATCTCTAACATCGTTTGTATCATCATTATTACTAATGGCATTGTCCTTATCGGTTGACGTAAGCAAGTTACGCAACACTGGCCATTTATTTACATAATCCAATGGACTGAGTTGCTGATGTTTTACGGGCACTTCTAACTATATGGATTAAATTTTATATCTTTATATGCATGCATTCATATTTAATCTTAACAGCTAATTTACCATATCATCGATTCGACTCTTTGATGATGAATCGTCCAATAAAAAATCCGGCATATCAAACTTTAGCAAATAGACGCCAGCATAAACATTGGTAAGCAATTGTAGCCAAATAATCGACAACATAATCATTATGGCAATTGATTTACAATGGCGACGTTTCTGGTATAAAGTTGATCTTTGACAGTCGACACAATAAGCGTAGCAAAAGCAATCAATGTTGAACGAATAAACTGCAAATTGACAAAGAAAAAACAAATAAGCACAACAATAACAATATCAATAATAATCACTATGCGTTAAGTTGCCTCTACGGGATAAAAGAAAATATGTTTACAATAAGGTTCAGTTTCGAATAAGTGACAATTATTTAAAAACAACTTAAAGACGATTGCTACGCAGCTAAGATTTCGTATTTGTCAGAACTACGTTTCAAATATTTTCGAATCCATGTCCGTGAATAAGTATTCTTCCATTCATATAACGGCTTTTCAAAATGACACGCGATCGAAAAAGTGGTCCGAAACGAACCAATATACCAAGATTTCATTGAAATAGGTAGAAGGTATAAGTAGAAGAATTACTTTCTGAATCGAATGGCATACTAAAATTGGATCTATCGTAAATCCTTCTGGATGATGCATATTTTTTTCACCTGATTTTTGTATTTCGAATAACTTTTATTTTTTATTGTCGCTTTCGACAAAAAGGCAACATATCGCAAAAAACTCCAAAAGTCCAGAATGCAGTGAGTTGATGTGATCAGTCAGTACTGGTATCGATTAAGTCAAAGTCCATCGCCCTTTTGGCGATTTCCAAGACATTGGTTTTTTCGTTGACAGCGACCAACTAACTGCTTTACGGCATCGATTGACTTTTCGATCGCTACATAATCTTACTATTGTATCAATTAGTCAATCAATCAATAAGTGAAAATAGTTTAATTAAGGAAATCATAAAATACGAGATAATTGTTTCTATTAATCAATTTTGTAAAACCGGATAGTTACTGATAATCCGAATGAATTATCCGTTGTTTTCAGTAATAAATCTTTGAAAAACATTAAATGATCAAACAGACGAATCTTCGATTATTGATTTGCTTATGAACAGAAGAAGAAGAAGAAGAAGAACAAGAGGATAAGGAAAAAAAGACAGATTTTGCTTAAAAAAGTAAAATAAGATTGGAAAATGTGATATGGTTCCGGGTGTGAAGTGATTGAAGTATGAATATATTTAAAGGCTGCGCGATTTGATAAGTAGAACCTTGCTTAGCAGCTGTTAAGGTTTTTATGAGCTTTTATCTTAGAGTTACTCTGCTTTGTCCCTGCAATGCAGGATCCAATATATAATGTCGTCAAAATTTTCTATTCGTGAGATATGGTTCCGGATGTGAATTTTGGTTTTCTCCTCAGTATCAAGTAAGTAACCGATGAGATAACGAAGCCAATGACATGATTAATTAAAAAAAAAACTTCTTTTCTATTTTTATATGTCCATGTATTATGATTCTACTCTATTACAACCCCGCCCTTTAAATGATGAATGTGAAAAATTAGTTTTTAAAATAATCTCAATATTTTTAACTTAAACCCAAACTTACAATATACAATAATATATACATACATAAATATATATATATATATATACACATATGTAAAATAAGATCCGTTATATTGATCATATTTATTTAATCGTTATTCGCCAATCAATTCTCACAATTCTTATTCTTCAAATAAAATTTTATTTTAAATTTGATCCCTTATCTCGCCTACCTCTTATCCACTGATTCATTCTCCAGTAAACATTTGCAAATATTTTTCTGTTTTTATTTAAAATATTTAACCGTTATTCCGTTATTAATCGTTCGAAAATTGAACTGTTTTACCGTAATACGGCGGCGTTAGATCTTATATCGTTTCTCGTTTAAGAAACTCACCATCGATCACTTTTAACAATTTTTTCCACATTTATTTATTTATTTATTTTCTTCTCATTTCTATTTAACACTTTTTGTTTTTATGACTTATTGTTGTAAATCTAAATAAATGTTGTTGTTGTATTTGTAATGGTTTAACTTAAGTCACGTTGCTTCTTTAACAAGTTCTTAAGGCATACAAAACTTTCATTTGATTTTTTTTTTTTTTGTTTGTTTTTTGTTTTCTTCTTAACTCTTAAATGTATTTTAACTAAACTTTTCTAACTATGAGTTGGAGGAAATTTAATTTCGAGTTTGTTAAAGACGGGTGGAATAATATTGTTTATGCAACAAGAGAGTGGTAATATGGGTTAGTGAGCGATGGTAAGGAAATGTTAGCGAATGCGAAAGGCATTTCACATTTTATAGGAAAATTTTTTATTAAATTAAGCGAAATATTAAAGCGAAATATTGAAGCGTTTATGTTTTCATTTCGCTTTTTAGAGAGGAGTGAGTTGTTATTCTAATTAATTATAAACACCATTAACGACGATTGGATGATGTGCAATATCGCCATCATGTGATATTTATTGAGAGGATTTACATCAATGAATTGTCAAAGGATTTGACGTCGTTTAAAATGACGTTGATCTTCTTTTTTTTTTCTTTTTTTTTTTTTTGCAATTGAGAGAAACGAACGAGATGTCGGTCTCGTAATCGAAACGAAAAAAACGCATCGGTACAACGTTAATGCCCTTTTACATTTTATTTTTTATGAAATACATAAATACATTTTCTTCTCCGCATTTTCAATCTTATCCAGAGGTCGAAAGACTATATTTTGCGCATCATTCCAGTTTGTGTAAAAAAAAAAAAAAAATACAATGTTTACCACCTATGGAGAATTTTCAATTGAAAAACTCTTCGTAAAGCCACAAAGGGAGGGACATCGACATAGAAATCTTATCAGCTTATCACGAGAAATATATATTTATTTTTTTTTTTTAATTCGGTCGTACGTTCCCATTAACAAATCATTTGTAAGCTAATAATAATATCAATGCATGTAATGCGAAAAACTAATCAGAATTGAAATACTGGAAACTAGAAAGCATTGAAACTCGTTTAAAATGAAATAGATTTTAGAAATTCTTATTATCGCAAATCGATGCGAGCTATTTATTTATTAATGCAATGGCATATTATGCAGAAATGCTCGCTTGAGATCGAAAAATTGCAAAAAATTTAACAAAGCCATTCTAGTACAATATACTTAGGCACTGAGAAATTTTCTTATATGAATTATTTTACAGCATTCGGTAGAAGCGACATTCTAACAATGGTAGATCCAAATTATGATATATTAGTTGCAGCCAATCTAGGCCCATCCGAGAAAGATATTGTAGTCTAACGGTATATGCTATGGTAAATCCATAACAATCTTGACCGATCATCGAGACGTTACTTATCGATAACTCGTTTTAATAATAATAGCGACTAAATAATTTAATTAGATAACAATATCGACAATAATCGACAAATTCTTAATCAATCTTATGATTTGCTATTAATTCAAATTTTATTGCTATTTAAACTTTTCTTTTTGTCATTCCATTCTCCCATAACACAACGCAATGCACTTTTAATTCTCATTCATTAATTATTCAATAATTTGTTCTTTTAACTCAGAAAGACGAAGACATATTCCGATTACCATCTTTAGCCTGCGTAACTAATCAATGTTGAGATTATATCCGATCTTTCTGACATCTATTAACATTATTCATAATTACAATGCAAATTTCGCAAACATTGCTGCAAAATAGTAGGAGATAGGGTTCATGACGGTTTATATTATCCCAGTTTGTTGCATTACGCTCGACCATTAAAATTCGAGAGACCTCGTATTCGTAAATTGTTTCATAGCCTTTACGGATGTAATGGGAAAACTTTCCTAATCCACAACTAATGTGGGCAAACGAAGTAATGTGTAAGTAAAGTGCTCTTAATTTTGCAAAATTGAACTTTTATATGGGTGTATCCAACACCCAGATGGGTATTGAGATAGACTCACTTTTTATTATCACCTTCACTGGATCAATTTAAACTCTCTTATCTGTCTGTCCATTTGTGCGTCTTGTATTCACATGTTCAACCTACGAGTCGCATTTTTTCAAAACATGCTTTTGTCCAAGGACAAACGCCACTGCAATTGGTTCAGATCGGAGCACTTTTTCGACCACTTCCTATATAACACATTTTTTTTCAAAACTCATTACCTGAACAAGTATATTAAGCGATATAGTGCGGGGTATTTAATGATGGACCAAGATGGACCGGATGGACCACTATAGTATATAAAAATCCATTGATTCATTTGAGGCAATTTATATCCAAAATTTGCCTTAACGCAATCACAACTTTCACAATTGCTTCCTGTTGCTTTCAGTAAATCAAGATGAAATCAAAATTAAAAACTTAATTAGTTTCCGCTAATAGAGCCGTAAGCTATCTACGATTAAATAAAAAGTAAATAAATTTTATATACCATTGAACTATTTTAAAAATGAAAGAAGAAAGAACATAATTTATTAGGAGGGCCTCTCTCTTTTTTATACTAATGCTTTCATCATCATTTTGATGAAAGATTGAATCGGGTTTGCATCAGCTACTTGAAGTAAGAGTAAAAGCAAATGCACAAGCAAAAATTCGCCAATAATTATCTGAGCAGCAGACTCGTTTCGCGTAGGGACAGTCATTGCTAGTTTAGCTGATAATCTATTATTGAATCGACAATTCCTCTGGGATATAGGGGGATAATAATGATGTGATATTTTATTAATTTCGGCTCTTGTTGACTTCTTCTTAACAAGTTCAATGTAATCTAATCTGGTTTTTAATGACATATTATAATCAACGTTTGTATGCATTAAGTAAATATTATTCATTAGTTAGTTACTCTTGATGATTTTATTCCTTGAAAATTGAGATCAAGTGAAAAGCATTAAAAATTTATTAAATATATAGTAAAAATCAGTTGTTTTCAATGACCTTTTCGAACCCCTCCTTGTCAGATTTTAAACACACATTAATTGCTTTTGTCGTTCTATTTAAAAATTAATTAAATTCACTGATAATAATTGATAGATAGCTAGCTTTATAGTAAAATAACTAACGGACTTAACAGCGATAAATATATATATATATATATATACCTATATGGAAAACAAATATTTTACATATACATCAGCAATTTTTAAATCCAATTTAAATCGATATCGAAATCGACTTAACAGCAAGAGTGAATGGATGTTTTGATAACAAAATAATATAACGGATTATTAATGATTCTTGCTATTAAGTGAATTTAGCAAATTTTATTGAAAGGATCTTAATGATTATATATATGAATGTTAGCACATACATCTCTTTGTAAAGAGAATCGGAAGTGTCTCAAATGAGAAGAATATTAAGACATTTCGATTCTCGTCTTGCGAACGCCTAGAGAAACGCACAGCAAAGTATAGCTAGTGTTATGAAGATTGAGAGAGAGAGAGAGAGAGAGAGAGAGAGAGAGAGAGAGAGAGAGAGAGGCATTGAATACAATACATAAGTCGGTGCAAGCCATATCAGTTTTACAATGAGAGGAACTCATTTTAAGAAAACGTATTTTTTGTCAAGTTCCACAAGTCCATCAAGTTATTCATTGATCAATTATTACCGTACCCAATTCTACTGCCCTCTCTTCTATCATCAAGAATTTGTAGGCATTTTTACACTAAGCAGCAGCATCATTGTCGCGTCCGCCAATTACTTTAAGAGAATTGATTTTAGCGAAGAAAAGAATTAATTCCATTACGTCGTACGTGCATCGGTTATCTCAATAAATATATTTTATATTTGGTCGTCGTCAACGAACGCCCGTCTGAAGTGTTTTTAAGCATATATTATTTAAATTTTTTTTTTTTTTTTCTTTGGTCTAAATTGAGTATGTTTCATAGTAATTCTATATATAATATACACTCAAACCTGTTTTTGTGCGGCCTTTTTTTTATGCGCTTTTTTTTGTGCGATTCTTTTTGTGCGATTCTTTTTTGTGCGGTATATGAATATCGACACATTGAATTTCGCCGAGAGGTTAGGTCAATCTGAACTGTATTGGCATCACTTTTTTTTTTGCTATCAGTGTGTATGTACACATTGCATCAGCCTATTTCATTAGGCATCCTCAATGTTCTTATGCATATATTGCAACAAAAAAAGTGATCTGTTATACCATAAATAGCCCGTAATGCGTTCAATCCGTGTGTCATTAGTTGTTCTTGTGCGCATGATAAATGCAAAAGAATTAATTAAAAAAGTTGAATTATGAGGAAAAAGTGAAAAATTAATTCATGATACGGATACTATTAATAAAAAAATTAAATAGCTGCAAATGTTACATAAACGTTTTAATTTGCTTTTTAATATTTTGTAAATGTAAATTATCTTATCGAACGCTCCAATATTAAACACCTCTGACGCACGAGCATTTTTTTTTGTTTTGACTCGTGCTTTTAATTAATTTTATTTTTCTTTTCTATTTTCAATGCAAGTCGTTCAACTTGTTTTTTTTTTTTTTTCTTTCTTTCTTTCTTTTTATTTTTCATAAGCATTCCAGGGGGTATATATGTGAAAAATTTGTAACGCTTAGATAGATGCATCGGAAATCCCATTAGCAGTAGTGCATACTCGTTGAGCATACGTAGTAGAATCGTTTCACCTATGCCTGTCTATATGTCTAACTATCTCTGCGATATTTAAAGAGCACGGTTTCTGCCGTAATATCATTGCCTACAAGAGCAAACATAATCTCAAAAGTTTTCCTTATCGCTTTTGTCAGCTCAATTTTGAAAATCAGCGAATACAGCCAACAATTACCAAAAAGAAAATAAATATGGAAAACGTGCCAGCAAGCATGTCGCTCTATTTAAATATATACACAAATATTTTATATATAGAATATTGTAAAGAAGACTTGCCGACAATTCTTTACATCATGTGATTTCAAATAAAACCTACTTATGAATGCAAATATCGTTTATATATATATATTTCTAAATAATTGCTTACTTAAAGTTGAGGTTAGGCTTGATCTTTGAAAAATCTTGATATAGAATTTGGCGAAAATCGCATGTCCTTCCTTGCCTAAGCTATTGAATAACCGACTTTGATATATGCATTCAATCTTATCGTTAAACCGAGCAATTATTGCAAGCAGAAGACGACTTTCTTCTTCTTACTACTTAGATAAAAACGTTTTGTAATGAATTATTACAATTGCATCATGTAATAAAAAAAAAAAAAAAAACGAAAAAAACAAACACTTTTTTAACGACAAAGTAAATGTACATAAACAACACGTTTTTTTGAAATAGAAACTCGTGACAAAGACAATAAATTACCTGCATTAACTTTCTTGCACATGCAAGTTCTTATCGTGCAATCCCGTGCACTGCCTCTTTTTTTTTTTTTTTTTTTTTTTCTTGACGTTTTTAATACAATTTACCAAGAAAATGGGAAATTGTTATGTTTTTGAATTTGCAAGCCAGTGTCTGATCAGTATTTCAGCTGCAAAATTTCGTAATCGCAAAGGTATGCATCCTCGGCCCGTACTCATTCTCTGCTTGAGTGCTTTTGACATGGAGTCGAAAAATTACAAAATTCGATAAACTCTCTTACGCAATCGGCTCAGTACACACACAAAGTCATAATTCACAAGCACGCGTGCAAATACATAATATACTCCCATATATGTATGTATCGTATTGCTCACCTATATACCCAACGATATATAATATCGCATCGATTATGGTGAACCCTAAGATTTATGCGAATATTTAAAGGTGGAACTGCCGATGTTTCGCATCGCATACAAGGTGTGTTCAAAAAGAAAGATGAATTTTTTTTTTGTTCGAAATATGTTTATTTAGTCAATAATATCTATTTTGAATCCATCAAAGCAATCCGTCGCCTTCAGCTATAATGCAATTTTTTGCCAGCGCTTTTTCCCATCCTCGAAGCATTTCTGTTATGCGCTTTGTATGCTTGGTATGACCTTGAGTTGATGGCAGCGATAAAGTGAAATTTAATACCGTTACTTTGATTCATTTTTTTTTTTTGATGGCAAAAAAAATCGCCAACCTTTCTAATGTCAGCAAATACGGTGGACGTGTGCATCAATAAAAAAAAGAAAAATGAGAAATGAATTTGAAATAAATTGAAATGAAGATTTTATCGTTAACAATTTGAAGAGGTCGCATTCTTGGATTGAATACGAAAGTGGTTCTGCAGTTGCAGCTGGTCTTCCACGGTATCGCAAATTATATAAGTGCTTGGTTTTTTCAAAGTTTTCTTAGTTCCTAATGCTTGCGAGCAGAGAAATAATTACGCAGGTGAAAATTCAATTTTTCATTTCTGATTTTTTAACCTTGCATTCGTAATCGATCGTGCCAAATTTGAGTATCGTCATTCTTGCGACTATGGAAATTCGATAAACAAAGGGAATCAAAATGATGCCTTTTGATAGAAATAGATATATATAACTGCTTAATCCCCTTCAAACCTACAACTGATCGAATAGAAAAATGTTCATAGATATTTGGTGAGGATCTATCCATATAAGTACAAGTCACCATAAACATTTTGGCATGTCACATACGGTGTAACAATTTTTCCGAAGATGGGCAATTAAAAATGATCAAAATGACGTACTTGTTAATTCTAGTGTTAAAGAAAAATATAAATCGATATCCATGACGTATACGAAGTCTAATTTCTTTTTCTTTTTTCATTGTTCGAAAAAATCAAAAGCACGATATGGACAGACTGCCGTAGTCGGCATACAGTAGTCGTTTGCTAAAGCTGTGCTCGGTTAGGCTTTAATCCTTACTAAACAGTATTTAATAGGTACAATGATTCGACATAATCTCGCTGTTGATCAATAAACTGTTTTTCTAAATTTTTTCATTTCAAATCTACTCGATCTTCTCGATCTTCTAAATAGTAATTGTTTATACTTTTATATTGATTTCTAAAAGACAAGAAATAATTTGAAAGTAGGTCGAGAAATTGCTGTCTATACCTTAGATAGAGAATAAACAAACCCTTAAGGTATCAGTTGTCTTATGCAATTTCACTATTCAATCTTTCAAAAAAATGTTAAACGATTTCAGGAGCAACCGCAGACTTCGGGCGAGCAAAAGGTTGAGCACCATCGGTGTTCGCAAGCCACTTATAAATTATTTTTCTCATCTGAAAAGAGTCGTCGCAACATCTTTGAAGTCGATGCTGATGGTGAACAGTGTCCATTCTCAGCAAGAAGCAGCTCTTAATCAGTAAACGAAATTCCAATTTTCGCCTTATTTCCGAAATAAGAAAAGTAGTCTGTCTTAAGCAAATGTAACTTGTAAAGTTAATAGTGATGGCATCTATATGGCCCGGTACAAACTTATTGAATGATGTGCTATTTTCGGAGACCAGCTATTAACCACATAACTTTTTGTGTATATTTCGTCTACGTCAATGCTTTCCGATGCCTTGT